ATTTCATGTTTCAGTGTAAGCTTTTAAGGTAGAGCTTTCAGCGCTAGGCAGAAACTCATGAGCACTTTTGAGTGCAAATTGTTAGCAAAGCAGGAGTAAAAGACGAAGGAGTAAAAAAGCACGGAATAAAAGCACATTTTTTTAGTGCGAAAGCTTAGCGGCGTTTAGTTTTATTTTCAGGAATTATAGATTCACTGCAAGTGGCATTTTGTCGTTGTTAAGTTTTTCTCTAAAATCTCTATTAATTTATTTCCATCACATAGGCTGTACAAAGCTTTCGATAGCTCGTCATTTTAGGTTATACCCGAAAAATAGGCACTAAATATTAATATAAAAAAAATTTCGTTTGAAAGTCCAACTATTCGTTTCGTAAAGTACGCTTAAGTAACTTTTTAAGTACATGTGCTACGACTAGGCGCTGCAAAAAGCTTTTGCCAAGCTTTTTCTCATAAAAAGTTGCAACGCAGCACCTTGCCGGTTTTCTGTTAGACTCAGCTAACAAGTAAGTTTGTCATATCCGTTAGTTTCGTAAGTCTCTGAAGCTCACGATGCATATGCGCTTTTCCGCCTCCTCGGAAGACACTTACGATGTCTTCATCTTCTTGTATGGGTTCAACACCATGGCACTGCCTGTAGCACTGCCCGGCGCTGCGGCCATACCAGGTAGCGCGGCTGGCATACCCGCCGCCGTTGGTAGACCAGTAGGCATGGCACCAATAGCCGCATATGGATAAGCGGCGGCTGCCGGCGCAGCCATCATTCCAGCTGGGTAAAAGAAACCTTGCTGTTGCATTGCAGCCGCAGCGGCGGCAGCGGCATATTGCGGATTACCAGCGGCGGCTGTAGGTGCGGCAGCCAGCTGCATAGCCTGAGGACGCAGCGCATTGTGCGCCGCAGCTGCGCTAATATAACCGCCAGCAGCCGAAGAAGGTCGTGTCAGTAGTCCACCGGCTGCTGCAGCTGCGGTGCCTGGTGTGGGTGTATGCACTCGCGTACCGACAGGTGTCGACATGCCCGAATTGGGCAGCGAACCCGCCGACAGGGCTGAACGCTGCAGCTGCTGCGCATAAGCGGCATGCTGTGCATGAGCGGCAGCCAACTGCTGAGACTGTGCCGCCTGTTGGGCATGTGCGGCGTGCTGCAGTAGCGCGGCATGTTGTTGATGGGCAGCTATGGCATTGGCGCTACTTGGCAGCGCGGTCATGTAGGCTTTACCCAATTGTAGGCCGGCATAGCTGGCTGCGGTTGGCATGGCAGCGGCAGCAGCGGTAAGCGGTTTGCCGCTCAAGGCCGTTGCGTTGGCAGCGGCGGCCATCTTCATCGCATTAATATAGTTCTTTTGTGCGGCCTCCTTGGCAAGAGCGCTGGCATCGGCATAATAGCCTGTAGGCGTAGCGCTGCCGTAGGCGCTGTAGGCATAAGTGGGTGTTAGTGTGCCAGTGGCAGCAGCCGATGAAGGCGTAATGCCATACGCTGAGGCGTACGATGGTACAGTCATGCCGGACGCGGCGGACATGTGCGCCATTGTGGTTGTGGGTGTGGCATAGCCGCCATGAGAAGCCGCCAGGAGGTTGGCGTACGAGGTGGCCACGCTTGTGGGCACCGCGGCGTACTGGTTGTAGAGACGCAACATTTGTTGTTGCTGATGCTGTTGTTGTTGGGCATGCTGGTAGGCAACCGCTGAGGCGGCGGAAACAGCCGTGGAGGCAACCGAATGTGGTGTGGGCAATATGCCAGTGGCGGCGGTGGATGAAGTGGAGGTGGCGTGACCGTTCAAGCCACTGTAGCTGTTGTAAGACTGCGAGTCGGCGTGCGCGCCATTCGAAAGACTGGTGGACGGATAAGAGGAGGCGGCTGTGACATACGCATGTGCGGCTTGTGCAGCGTGTGCTTGTGCTTGTGAAGCGTAAGCGGCGTATGCGGAGTAAGCCAAGTCGTTGGCGGTACTAGCGGCCGTTGACGCTTTGTGTGTGGTGTACTTGACCGGCGAATTGGCGACGCTGTATTGGTTAGCGGAAGCATTGTACGTGTACTTGCTGTAGCTATAGCTATTAGTGATGCTGCTTTTGTTGCTGTTGTAACTGCTATCCCCGCTAGCTTCTCTATCACTTCTATATGTGCTAGCATTGTCCGTTTGTGGGGTTAGTGCCAATGTGGTTGCTGCTGTTTTTGTGGTGTCTATAGTGTGTTCACCCACAGCAGCAGCAGTGGCAGTTGCAGCAGTTGTAGTCGTTGTTGTTGTTATGCTAGCGCCTATATCTGCCGATGTGGCGGTCGTAGTAGCCGCATTGATGCCGTCGCCAGTGATGTCTTCACTGTCGCATTCAACTGCCGCTGTTGCTGCTGCGGTGGCTGCTGTAGGTGGTGTTGTTGTCATGGCGGGCGCTAACTTATTACTACCACTACTCAAAATATTATTATTCACATATAATACATTATTGTTATTGTTGTTGTTGTTGCTACTAGCCATGTTACTATCGCCATTGCCATATGGCAAATACGTTGACGAAATTGTTGCTGCTGTTGCCGTCGGCGAGGAGGACACTGCTGGTGGCGGTGGCGACGACGAGCCATTGCTACTCACATCTGTACCGTTATTACTAGCCTGCATGTGTACGCTACTACTACTTGTCTCATACAAACTACTAACATCTGCTGCTGTATTTGTTGTTGTTGCTGCTGCTGTACGGTTTTCATTTAGGGGTGGTGGTGTTGTTTGCAATGATTCTGTGTGCATGGATGAGTAGTGGTGCGTGCTGTTTGCTGTGGAGGGAGGGGAGGTTGAGGTAGGGGGTGTTAGGGCACTAGAATTGCTATTGTCATGATTATTATTTATATTATTGTTGCTATTATACAGGGTGCTATTGCTACTGTAATGATGGTGTGAATGGTAATTGGATGTGGCGGTTGTTGTTGTTGAGGGTATTGCAGAGGATGGTGGAGGTGGTGGCAATAAGTGCAACTGGTGTTGTTGTTGTTGCTGCTGTTGCAAGTGTTGGTTGTGTAGCTGTTGTTGTTGTTGTTGGTGGTGGTGGAGGTGATGTTGTTGTGTTGTTGTAATACTAGCACCTAATAATGAGGCCGCCGCTGTTGTTGTACTGGCGGCTGCTGCTGCGGCGGCGGCGGTTGCTTGTGCTGCTGCTGTTGCAGTAGTAGCATTATACGGATTCATATTGGTAGTAGTAGTAGTAGAAGTAGTAGAAGTACTCAAAGTAGAAGTACTGGTAGTGGCGCTCAATGGCGCCCCACCATTTTGAGATTGGTACTCACATGACACTGGTACGAACGGCTGTTGCAGTTGCATGAGTTGCTGGTAGGTGGTCGCGCCGGGCTGATACACTGGAATACCGGATTTTTCGGCAGCGGGACGCTTGAACGGAACCATGCCGGAGAAAGCCTGTTGAAAAAAAGCAAAGAAAGAGGGAAAGAGAGACAGAAAACGGGAGAAAGTGGGAAAATAAAAAAAGTATTTTTAATGAATTTGTTTTTGGAAATTTGATTATGAGTTTAATAAAAGCTTTCAATAAACAGTAACGCTAAACTAGCTTACGAACTGACTAAAAGTGTAACTTCGAAGCTTATGCAGAGGCTTATACATAAAAGCGATATGAGCTTTACGCTACATGTACGAGTATTGACATTAAAAAATATTTTTGAAAAAAAAAAAAATGCTGGTGGTGTGCAGTCGGCGATGAATAGTATACGAGGTGTAAACGAATCATTTTTTAAGTGAAAAAAAAGTAATAAACATATGCGTAATAATGAATTGAGAAAAATTAGAGCTTTTTGGAAGAGCAAAGCTAGATGCTGAAAGAAACCTAAGAATAATAGTAATAATACTTTAAGAAAAAAAATGTTTTTTAAGCAGAGAAAAGCTTTTTAAAAGTTAAAACGGAAATCCAAAAGCGATTAAATGGAGCGTGGAGAGTTCAACATTATTGGAAGAGCAAATAATAGATTAAAATAATGAAACGATTTTCAAAAACTTTCCCAAATTTCACTGAAAAAATAAATAATATAAAACGAAACCACGAAACGGGGAAAGCACTTTTTTTCTGAAAGAATAAAAGGTATACAGAGAAATGACATGTATTTCTAAAACTTTAGCAAATAGCTTTTTAAGTTCATTTTGAATTATGCTAACAAAATTACAAAAAAAATTAACTATTAATTCCTTTTGAGAAAACTCATAAAAAATAAGCAACGAATTAAAAACGTATGCGCTACAGCTTTCCACATGTAATAAGTGCAACATATACACAAAAGCTAAAAGTTTACAGGAAAAGTTGTACTATTGCTTTTAATTACGGTAAAAAATATGGAGAGTTACAAGTTTTTAAATTTCAATTTAAGCTAAAATAGCCACATTTGTTAGTCTTTTACAATTTCTTCTGTAAACTTTAAAAGCTCAGAATTGTTGTAAGTGTCTGCGCTTAAAGAAAAAGGACCTAGAGTTTGCTTAGGCATTTAAATTTAAATCAGTAGCGATCAAAGAGAGCTTTCACTGTGTACGTGAACTTATAAAACAGCTTCGCTCGTGTGCCGTGTTTTGATCGCGAGTGATGTAAATCACATTTATCTACATCAAAGGCACACGTGGGGCAGGCGCAAAATAAAAGCTCTCGAATGCAAACACTAATTTAAATAGTAAATACTGCCAACAAAAATAAAAACTGCAAGGAAGCTTTCAAATACTTAAAAGCTCTGGCTTGATAACAGTGCCTTCTTCGAGGCATTTAGTTTAATTTAATTTTAATTGGGCTATGCATATTATAAATATCGAGGCCATAAACTATAGTTTACAAGTTTTTAAAAAGATAAGCTTTTAGAGTTGATTTTGTAAACAGCGAATTTCTACTATGCTTTTGTTGGGTTAAGACTACTACTTTGCAAAAACTTTTGAAATTTGGCAACAAAAAGGATAAGTATGGTTCAAGTATCAGCTTTAAGCGGAGGCATTATTTTACTTTGATGTTTGAAGGGATGCAGAGCCACAGGCTTCAATCAAGCTCTATGATATTCTTGATTTTTCAAAGATTTACAAAATTTTCACCATTTACAAAAAATAAAAAATACCTTTATGTACCCTTAAGAGTACTTTAGATGGGTAAAAGATCTGAGTAGCCAGCACTGGTTAACGCTAACCAATAACAAATTTAATCTAAGAACAGATTTTGTTCAATAAAAGTTGTCCTTTGACGTATAGTCAAACATTAATTCTTATCGCCAAAAAAGTGAGGATTGAAAAAGAGATACAAGATTAAAAGCTCAATGAAAGCTTTTACGATTTGCATCTTCTTAAAGCAATGTTGGCCACTTCATAGGCTCGTGTTCCAACGCTTTCTGTACAATTTGCATACAGCTAACACAAAATAAAAGCTTTCACTGGCCAACACTGGCTTAAAGAAGCAAGGGGGGGAGAGAGCTTTCACTCTGCACGCGTCTATACAAAATACAGCAAGTTTAAGAGAGCTTTGCCCGCGGGTGAGGCGTTTCTCATCTCCGGTTTAAAGCTTAACTCTACTATTTTTTCTGCGTTAATATAGAAATTCTATTAGGATGTAGAATGAGAACGATGCAAAGCTTTACTAATAAATATGTAAATATGTATGCTTTCAGCAGCTTTCTTTAGAGTCCTAGCTAATTTTATTTCATTTGAAAACTAGCATTTTGTATAAATTAGGAAATAGCTTGAGCTTTGTGTACTACTCAAAAGCTTTAAAACGAGTTTATGTTGAGGAATTGTTATTGTAATTTCTTTAAAAATGTCAATGTTTTATTCAAATTATATCTACGACGGTGCTCGTTATTTTTTAAATAATCTTGCATGCATTTAAAGAGTCCAAATAAAATTTCGTAAAACTTGAAAGAGTAAGAAAGTAAATATTATTGTTTTTTTGTTTTGTTTTCAAAGAGTGAAGAAAAAACTCAATATAAGCAAAATTGATTTGTAGAAAAGGTATAATAGGTAGGAGTTTCAAAGGTACACAAAAATGCGGTTTTAGTACTTACGAAATTTTCATAGTAAAATGAACCAACCGTTTTAACATCCATCTATTTTTGGTGGTTTTGGCAAATGCAAGTGTCGTAATTTTTTTTTTGTTTTCGAAAAAATGTAGAATAAAGGCATACAGCCGCATTGTTGGCACAATAGAAGGCGCAGAGTAGCGGATGGATTGGTTGAAGTAGAAATTAGTTGTAGTGGTAACAGTATTTGCGGGCAGAGTTGCATTTTGAAGTAGTAGAGGTAGTAGACAGTGGTTGCGGTGAGATAGTGGTTGTGGTGGTGATGATGGTTGCGTAGGCAAGTAGGCGAATAAGTAGTTGGAAGGCATTGAGAAGGCGGTGTTGTGATTAGGTTTTTTTTTTATTTATTTTATTTTTTTTCATTGTTGTTAGTATACGATGCAAATTTATTATTATTATTATTTAATTTTATTTTTATCGAGTATTGATTTGTTGNATTTATTTTATTTTTTTTCATTGTTGTTAGTATACGATGCAAGTTTATTATTATTATTATTTAATTTTATTTTTATCGAGTATTGATTTGTTGATGTTTAAAACACATATATTGACACACATTATGTAGAAACGCAAATGATGCAAACGAAGGTTGTGGAAGAAAAGAATACACAGAAAGAAAAAAAAACAGATGAAATTAGTTAAGTGATAATGATGAGCAATTAAGAACGATTAAGATTATTTGGTCGTTATAAACTAGCTATTTACTAGACGTAAACTAATAAATAGGTATACAATTTGAAGGTACTTTTTTGAGCTTTTAATTTCTATTGCTGTGTTGTGTTTAAAAGAAATAAAAGTTTAATCAAAAAATTAAGATTATGAAAAGTGTGCTACATTTTGCGCAAGTGCTTTATTTTTTGTTTGTTTTGTTGTTTAGCAAATTTTTTTATTGCTCATAAAAGCTTTATAATTTGTAAATATTTATGCAGGGATGTTGTTTTACATTATTTTTGCTTTATGTGCCAGCAAATAAAATAAAGCAACAAAAAATAAGTGAACTTGCAAATGAACTTAAGTAACTTTCTGTACTATGTAAGCTTTTAAGCTTGCGATCTTCAAATAAAGCAAACTATGCTTTTTGTTTAAATGGAAACAGTTGGAGCTTTTCGAAATACCTATTGCCCTTAGCTTTGAAGTATTAAAAAATTATGGAAAATTGTTTAGGTTTTACGGAAATTGTTAAGTAACTTTCTGTACTTAAAAGCTTTTATGCTTGCAATCTTAAAATAAAGCTAACTATTCCTTTTTTATATAGAAATAAGTTTGAGCTTTTTGGAATATTAACTTTAACTTTGATATATAATAAAATGGAAGCTTGTTTAGGTTTTAAGGGGTTTTAGTGTTCGCAGACAAAGATATGTATATATAAGAAAGTAAAATTTTTTTTTCCTCAAAAAAATCACCCGTTATTTAGATTTTACTTAAAAATCGGTATGTACATACATGCATATTTAATTAAGCTTAAAATTGTGCTTCCCCACTCTTGTACTTCACTTCATTGACTGACTTCAACTTCGCTGCAAATTGAACAAAGCAAAACATGATTTTTATGCGAGACAAATTTCCACAGAAAGTAACGGTAGAGAAAGAATTTTTGGATAGTCATTCTCTTTTTCATCTGACTACGATGCAGCATTCTACTTTGCATTCTCCGAAATGAAGCAAAGAAGTGAAATAAAAAAAAATATTGTAGAACATTCTACTTTGCATTCCCTGAAATGAAGCAAAGAAGCGAAAAAAAAAAAAAATATTGTAGGGCATTCTACTTTGCATTCCCTGAAATGAAGCAAAGAAGCGAAACAAATAAAATATTGTAGGACATTCTACTTTGCATTCCCCGAAATGAAGCAAAGAAGCGAATGAAAAAAGAAATATTATAGGACATTCTACTTTGCATTCCCCGAAATGAAACAAAGAAGCGAAATAAATAAAATATTATAGAGCATTCTACTTTGCATTACCGGCAATGCCTAAAAGGAGCGAAAAAATTCGAAGTCATTATAACGCTATGCCTTCAAGAACACGTTACCACTAAAAGCGATTACCGATTTTTTGCTGGGTTGCCTCACTAAATTTGTATGATGTATGTATGCTTGCATATAAATGTATTTAGGTACATTTGGAAGTTATATGCCTAATATACTTACATGTACATACATATTTCTTAATCAATAACATTAAAACTTGTCGCTCCGAATGCGCGTTATCACGC